TGCAGCCTGCAGGTCTGCTGTGTTTCCTCTCTGCAGCCTCTCAGGAATTTCATTGCAAGTAACTCCCTCTGTTCTTTCCTAGCCATGTGCCAGCCCTGTGCCAATGTGGAACTTCTCATGGCCACTTGCAGCAGTGATTTTTGGTAAGCTGACAAAAATCGTTTTGCCTTTATTTCTGTGTTTATTGTTTGTGTTTGGTGCTTTACTTAAAATCATGGAATGTTTATGCTCTCCAGTGCCTGCAAAAAGAAATAAAACTATGAACTGTATACATACCTAAGAAATGCTGAAAAAGCTGAATGAATGCTTTCCTACTAGGGATGGTAATACGTCAACAGTTTTCTAGTTTGTTTGTTAATCATGATATCATGATGCCGTTACTGTTGCACAGAAACAGAGTGCAGATCAGGGTGTTTTTTAAGGCCCATTGTCTCATGACAGCGAGGTCTGTGGGACGAGAGCTTCGTTCTTTGTACATCTGACAAAAAATGCTTTATGTGGAAAGGCTGTGTCTTATTGCGCCTGCACTTCCGAAAAACTGCTAGGATTGCTTTAAGGGATGGAGGCACAGACACGTTGTGTGATTTTCGTCTGTTTATTTTTAAATGAGTCTTCCAACAGAAGTATTTTGAGTTCTGCATCTTGTTTGTCACTCCCTAGAGTGCCTTTTGCTAAATGGATGACATTTTGAGGGAAAAATCCTGAAGCCTTTATATGGAAAACACTTAATAAGCTCTTTTCCAATCAAATCACACCCTATTTCTTCTTGGATCAACTTCTGTTGCTGCCGCCAATGAAAAATTTCAGTCCCATGGAGGGAGGTAGTTTGTGACAGTCCTTGTTTTAGGGCATAGACTGGAGGGGAGGGGAAAAAAAAAAAAAAAGGAATCCTTGAAGTGCCAATAAAATTCTAAAAGACATGGACTCTGAATAGGAGTTAATACAATGCCTGCAGTGTGACATGTTTTAAATGTAGTACTGGTTATTTGAGAAATAGCAACCACTCGAAAGGAAATTGAGAAGGGGGGAAAAGATAGGAGGGAATTGGAGAAAAGTGGCACAGAAATGCGTCCTGTTAGACTGTAGCCAAATATCATTTTGTTTTAGGAAGGGAAACAAGCATTGGGAAAAATATTGACAAAACTTCTCATGTGTGTTTCCAGAGAAGTGTTAGCAGCCAAGTCAAACCAGTAAGTTCTTTTGTGGATGCTTTTGTTTTGGCTAATTATTAAAAGCCTCTTGAACCACCAGAGCAGCTCTCGTGAGCTCCTTTCCACTGGCTGGACACTTGATATCCGTTGCTTTTTCCAGATATAGCCGGAGCTGGTGACTGCTGGAGATCCTCTAGGTTCTGTTTAAACAATCCTGGTGCACCTACTTGGAGGAACCTGCACTACTATTAACTACTAAGTGGTGGCCACTTTCTGCTTATGCCAGAAGGTCTCCAGTTTTGTTTATTGGTTAGGTTGGTCCTCTTGTTCCTGGATAGGACATAGCCCTACTAATACAGAAGGTCTCCAGTTTTGTTTATTGGTCCCCTTGTTCCTGGATAGGACGTGGCCCCACTGATGAGGGGTGCCTTAGCTCGGCTGAAGGAGGTGATTTGTGAGGGGATTTTCATACTCCAAAACCATGCAGCTGTGCTGCTATCCTTTTCCCTGAGTCTTCCTGTGACTCTACAGGAGGAAGCCAGTTGCTTGTGCATTGTAGAGTCTTGTTTTTGTATTCCTTGTTACCTCAGCTTTGAGCACTGAACAAAACAGCGTTAGTTTATTGTGTATTTTTATTGAATTAAAAATGTCAGAAGTTATTCAGTTAACAAGTGGAAAAAAATCAGCAATAGTCAATTTAGGATTGTGCCCAGAAGTTATTTATAAAACAGATAATAATCTATGCTTATTCCCCTGACAAGCACATCTAACTGAAACATATATGAAATAGCAAGTATTATCACACTAACCTACTCCACGGCTTAGTACAATGAACAAAGCTCTATAATTACAGGAATATTTATTTTTCTAGTTGCAGTATTTTAGTAGAACCAGATGATTATAATATAGTAAGTGTATTTTCAGTGGGTGTTTCTCCAGCTGCCCTCTCGTGCACACTAACACACTGATCCCCTCTCCTGCCTGCCTTGCAATGAGAGCAGCCCTGTTCAGGGTAGGTAGCTGAAAAGCATGCACATACCCACGTTTTTTCTAAAACCAGCACAGCTTTGGCATCATTACTGACAGAGTAAAAACACTTCAGTTGCGCTGAAGAGGCTTTTGAAACTCTGCTCCTAAAGAACATTTTAAAGGCCTGCTGGTTAAATGCCCTTGTTCCTCACCGCAGAACAACTGGAATGTCTCCTGGAAAAAGGGAGTAAGCAGAACAGCTGGTCACAAGTCAAGACTTAAGAATTTTACCCTCTATCTTACTAAGTGAAAAATCGAAGGAGTACTGTAGAACCAATACCAGCACCCAAAACCTACATAGGACTTTTGTCCAAAGGCAAAAGGCCACTTGAAAATGCCTTGCAAGTAGGCAGAGCATTTGATCAAATGGGAGTTTACAGAGAGAAAGAGATGCCGGAGCAACCCGCACTAACACAAGGCAAGGACATTTCCAGCGCCTCTCCTGCGTGAACGTTCTTGAAGCCAAACACGTGGGAAGGGAGGCCTCGGGGTGGGATTACTCAGAGCTCCTGGACAATGAAGCGGAGATCCTGGGAGTCGGCCACGGGAAGGAATCCATCCGTACTGCTTGTTGGACAAGCTCTACCGCCTCAGGATCTCCACATTGCCACAACTCCGCTCTCACCAGGAATTTCCTCTCCCAGGTATGGCCACTGTGGCTTTGTCCTGCTCCTTGTCTGGCTTCTGGCCCTGGTCTTCCCTCTCTGTCTACTCCACAGACAGGACAAAAGCCGAGTGAAGCTTTGCATTCACTGCTGGCTCCTAAAAAACAGTTTCACATCTTCCTTTCTCACCTTTCCAGGTATTTTGCCTGGTTTGATAGTTTTAGTACTGACTGTACTTTGGAAAGTTGGCTCCCTTTATATGGTACAACTGATCCAAAGACAACCATTGCACCGTTTTTAGGTCCAACTGCAATTAAAAATCTCTTCTTGGCCAGAAGAATTGAAGCAGTTCATCTGACTGTGTTATCACAAAAGGTTCTTTTCAAAATATTCATTCTAATACTTCAAACTGCTGCTAGTAGCCTTGCATTTTATTTCACAAAGTATGCCAAGGGTCTTGCTGATCAAAGCCCAGTAAGTTCCTCCTTCAGCTTCCCCATTATGTGCCAGTCCAAGGAAGAAGAACTAGTGGGATACATCTAGAGGCATGAACAAGATACAGGCCCAATAAGTATGAGATCCAAATACCTCGATTGCCTACTGGTTGTTTTAAAGCTTTTACTAAGAAGTAGAGAATAACTAGTACAAAATCCTGGGCACGTCGTGAAGACGTCTGCACACATGCCATAAACCCAGGTAAAGAACACCAGAGGTCAAAACCCATCCTAGCGGGGGCAGATGTGTGTTCTCCTGTGTGCTCCATCCCTGCACGTTTCAGAAGAGCCCTCGGCTGCCTGCCTGTGTCGTGCACAGAGCAAACAGCATCCTCTGCCCCCCGAGCACGCTGGCTGCACAGCCTTGAAACTGCAGCGCCGGGAGCGTGGCCAGAATGCAGGAAACCTGCTCTCTGTGTCCCGAGCAACAGAAGATAAACCTGCAGAGAACATCCTGCTTCATAAAGAGAAAAAGCTTTATGACAGGACACCCTGCTTTGAGTGAACAAAACACTTACGCTCCTGTGCAAGCCCAAAATACGCTCCCTGAACTCCTCCATACAAAGACATGCTGAAGAGCCTTTGCGGTGAAGATGTGAAGCATATTCTGGTTTAGAACAGGATAAAATGCTTCATCCCAAGGAGAGTGTGAGCACAGAGCTCTGCAGGATGCCTTCCTCAGGACACTTCTATGTGTTCCCGGACTCTGAGTTCCTGGTGATACAATTTCAAATCCTTTGGCTCTGCATTTCTGTTCTGATGAGATTTGTCGTATTGGCTTTTATAGTTTAATGTTGTAAGACCTGAAGTTACTGATTTCAATAGTTCTCCGCAGTTGTTGGTTACATATTGAGAACACTTATATTTCAAATCCTGACTATGCAAAACAGTCTGAGGATGGAGAAAAATATAAGGTAACACAGACCCACCTCAAAGCCTGGACCCTAAATTTCTCAAGGGATTCCTCCTATTTCTTTCCAAAGGGGTTGTTGCTTGCTGTGCAATACATCTAGAACAGAAAATGACTTCTGGAAGTCTTCTATGTGGAACTGCAGAAGTCAAGATAGCTACTGAAGCCATTGAATGTCATCGTAACTTTGCTTTCAGAAGGATAATTAAGGTCTTTGCAAACACTTTTATCTTAAAAACTGTCATCAGCACTTTAAATCACTATTGTAACAGTTCAAACTAAAGAAAAATGCATAAAAGTTGATAATTTTTCTCTCTCAAAGGATCTTTGAGGCTGCTCAAACTAAGACTGTGTGGTAGGAATAGCAGCATTCTGTACAGTATGATTTTTCTTTCAATTATTTCAAATTTATTCTTTTAAAATTGCTATTAAAAAGAGCTATCTTGTATGTGTTAAAAATATTTTGGACTTGAAATTCCCCTCCCAGTTGCAATTAAATTAAAAGCTTGCTAAAGATAGGAGGGGAAAAAAATCATCAACACAACCAAGTAGCCCTTTTTTCTACCTTTACAATATTGCAAAAAATCCTCTTTTCTTCATTCAGCACTCAGCTGGGAAGCTAGAAGTTAGGGATAAAAGTCCCTTTTTCCTTCTTCCTCCCAGAACTGAAATGGAGAAGTTTTACATATGTACCCAGCAAATCACTAGTTTTCCTTGAATTCAAGGCACGTTACAACTACAGAGATGAGCTGCTGCAGGAATGACTATTTGTGTAAACACCCCAGCCCACCAAGCTAAGATAAGATAAGGGACGTTAGGGTTTCAGCTGACACAGGGAGAGAACAGTGCCGCTGGAGAAGACCCAGAAGGCAGGATACAGCGCTTCAGTGAACTGGGTTTTGTACTTGTAGATCAAGTTGTGCCTTTCCCCAACGGCCAGGAAGATCACGAAGCCTTGGTCGCAGTGCAGCAGCACGCCGACGCGGCTGGCCTTTGTGTTGGGTAGGCACTTCTCAACGTCGTCGTGCCAGGCCGAAATCTTGTTACTGAACCACTCGATGCACCAGGAGCGGCTGTTCCGGCCCAGGCGGCTCTCCGCGCCCTGCCGCTTCATGCTCCCGTAGCAGACGCCGATGCCGCAGAAGTTGCTGTGCTGCAGATCCACCTCCCAGTAGTGGATGCCTCTCTTGAAGCACTGGAACCCCAGCACTTGGGAGCAATAGGTGAAGCGCTGCGGGTGGTCGCTGTAATTCAGGGGGGTTTCGGACACACACATCTTGGTGTAGTTGTCAGACAGAACCACTTGGTTGTGAGCCGTGTTGTAATCCAGGGTGATGCTAGCGGCATCTGCAAGGACACGCAGCAGCTGAAGGGACTGAAGAGCAACGCTTCCCATTACCTGGGTCTGCAGAGGCACTTGTTTCCATGCTCTGTGTTACAGAGCAGGCAAACGACATGAGCAAGTTTTCTTCTTCCCTGCATAACTGTAGGATTCCTTACACCACCCCAATAAATGTTTGCAGCAGAAGGGGATTGCTGATCTGGCACTGAAAAGTACACAGTGATGTAAGGGGCTTGTGTAAGAGCCTACATTTAATTTCCAAGGAAAGTCCAATTAATTTAACTATATTTCTAGGCTCCTGTAATGCAGTCAGAGAACTGCTGAGGAATTCAAAAGGAAACCCAAAGCCGTTGCTTAGAAAGGCTTCTCACAAATACAAGAATACTAAAGGTGAATTTGATCCATCTAGCAAAAGAACTACTACCTAACAAGCTAAACCACCTGCTCCCTTTTCCAAAAAAAATCTCCTTGACTTGTAAAAGCTATTTGATTACCAAGTAAATTACTTAAACCCCACAAAAGTATGTTTCTCGAGTAACTACCGAGGTCACATAACACTGGTGCAACAAAGTCCTGTGTTGAGAAATTTTGAGTTTCTTACACTGCAAAAGCTCCTCCCTGGGCTTCTTCAGAAAGCTCTCAATCAGCTGTTTTGTTGCAGCAGCAGCTGCAGCATTTGGTGCTGCTGGTTTTGGTGCTGTGTGAGTAGAAGACAGGAGATAGAGTTGACTATTTGGGAAGAAACTGCACATTTAGCACAGAATCATAGAAACATACAGGTTGGACTTTACATCCTGAGGTTGTCTATTGTAGCTTCCTGCTCCTACCACAGCTGACTTCACCATTAGCTTAGGTTGCTCACGCTCTTGTCAAGTTTTGAAGTACTGTGCTGGGAGCAACCTCTTTCGGTGCTGGACTGGCACAGGCTGCCCAGAGAGGTTGTGGAGTCTCCTTCTCTGGAGATCTTCAAACCCGCTTGGACGCAGTCCTGTGCCACGTGCTCTAGGTGACCCTGCGTGTGCAGGGGGGTTGGACTAGATGATCCCTAGAGGTCCCTTCCAGCCTTAACCGTTCTATGACTCTATGATGACTCTCACTGTGACTAGTAAGAGCTTTCTTAGAAGCAGCAGCTGAAATTTGCTTAATACACCAACACTGATGACTTTGCAATTTAAGAGCAGTCAATGAAAATTAGAATAAGTATTTTAAAAGTTTGAACTTACCAGCTTTAGCGGGTTTCTTTTTCTCCTCTGAGAAAATAAAATCAATTGTTAGTTCCACTGAGAAAGGCCGCAGGCATAGATTTAATGCCAGCAGCAACCCATCAGCATTATCTTTTCTGAAGCTGCAGCAGTAGAAGGCGGAGGGCCCAGCATGTTGAAGCTAAGTACAAATTCATCCATCCTGAAAAGTTACCCAACCTGTTTGCTTTTTGTTTCCTGAGTTCACAAGCCTGGAAGGAGATACAAGAATCCTCTCTCCTCCAGGCTGTGATGTGCTAGGGCTAGTGGCAAGAAGCCTGTTCCTCGGGGCGTGTGGGCTACCCTGTTGCTCTTTCCAGCAGCAGGTCTTGTGCAGCTGTAGGGCACGTACAAGGCCTCTCACCACCTGCAATGCAGAACAGCCCCTTGTCTAGTCCGTCTCTAGAATATCTCTGTTCACCAGTTAAGTGACAGGTGTTTCTTAATATTTGGCCTTATTTCAAAAATAAATAATGGAAGAATGTTCAGATTCAGGCTGGAGTACCACAGCAACTGGCCAAAGCAGCCCTGAAAGACCCAGTATAATGTGCCACAAAGACCATCTCCATCATTCTAGCCTTAGATTCCAAGCGGGATTTAGCCAGCAGGATACTTGAGTAAGGTTGCCATGCGCTGCTGCTCATCACTTACTGGTAGCTGCCTGTTCTGGCAAGATGACTGGAGGCTGATTTTGGATTTTCTCTTTCTGGGCAGCCTCTTCTGAGGAGAAAAAAAAATGTGAACAGCCTATAAGTAGGATTTGTTACATGCAAATCCATTAAACAAGCAAAGATAGATGTTTAATATAAGTGAAACAGAAATACTGCACTGCATGGCCAGATAGAGGGGCAGTGGAATACTATGAGAGCCCAGAGGCTAATGCACATCTGATCTGTGCAGCTCAGAAAAACATCTACTGCCAGAAAGCACAAAAGGTCTCTCCTTTCCATGCCAAAGTCCTCGTCACAGAGAACCACTGCATCAGCAGCAGTGCTTGGGTAATGCCTTCAATTATTGCTTAGTAGCAAAACCATAGTTAGGAATGGGTGATGTTGCTTAGTACTTACGTGGTCCAGCAGGTTTTCTTCCATAAATGTTTCTGTTCAGGGAAGGTGCTACAGGAAACTTAAGTCTAACAGGGGTATTTGCTGCAATGATAATATTTTACATTATGATTTTTATTACCAGGAACAGTAATGCAAGAGCTAAGACAGTCCTGCTTTTCAGGTGTATGATTCAAACTTAACTGATTGTTGGCAGACATGGAAATTGCATAGAGGTTACCCATGCCCCAGTCCTAAAGAAAATGTTGCTTAACCCAGTAAGAACTGTCAACCCATTTAAGACTGGATAGCCGTAATCCTGCCCCTTCAAAGACTTTTATGTCTCCCCTCAAATCCATGTCCTACAAATGCCAATTCTGATAATGATACGATACCTTCTGCGCTTTTGTCCAAGGACTGAGTCACTGCAAGTTTCACAGTTTCTTTAATGTTAATGGCAGACTGATAAGCAGGATCTATCAGGCTTTGGTCCATTTCTATTTTGGGGGTGAATACATCTTTTGTAGTCACTTGTTGCAGTGCAGCTGCTCTCTGTAATGAGAAATGGAAGATCTCATGCAGACCACCTTCTGTAGATGAAGTAGGCAAATACAGTCAAGTTATGTCGGGGGGGTTGGTTTTGTGCATTTGGCCCAGATTTAGAGGAGTGAATGCTACTTGCAGGTACGACTCATGAAAACAGTTCTGCAGCAACCAATATACTTCACTTCCCAATGACATCTGGAGCGCTCAGATAGATCTGCCATGGTGATGAGTTGTCTAACTCGTGGCAGGTAGAGGGTTTGAATTGCAGGGGAGAGATTGCCAGACCACTGTTGTTTCATTGATATTTGTGTACTTATCCATACACATTTTTGAAGTTATTTTAGAGAAAATTCGAGCACACAGCTGCATTACCAGTTGATTAAAAGTGTCTGGACAGCGGGATTGCCACAGCATGTCCAGCACACATTGCCACAGCAGTTGTTCCTGACTCTGCATGCTAGGAACATGAAGTATCAGATTAACATATAAGGAACATGTTACCTTTAAAAACAGAATGTCGTCACGTTCAGTCAGTGCCATCTCAATTTGATCACTGAGGGACTGCATTTCCTTATTCTTATTTCTCAGAACACCCAAAACATAATCAAACTTATTGCAAACTCTTTTTTCTTCATCGCCAATTATTTTCAAGAGTCGATTTTCTTCTTCTCCAAGTAAAGCTTTAATTTCTGAAAACTCAGTTATGATCAAATCTCTTTTTCTGGAAGCTGCCTCCTGAAGCAGACAAGAAAAACAGATTTCAGAAGAACAGAAGATTGTTCAGAAGAACAGAAGATTGTTCAGAAGAACAATCTGTGGGCAAAGTGCCACCACAACTGCAAGAGAAAACCAAGTCTTTGAGGAACGCATGGACTTCAGTTACCTGGAGCAGGTGACAGAAGAGCTAAGTACTTCTGTGTAGTTTGGAAGGCAAACTCATCTACTCCTAAGCAAAGAGAGTTTTCCATCGCCAAATTCCTATTTCGCAGGGGCTCCTGGACAGAAGCCAGGCAAGCTGTGCCATCTAGTGGGTTAGAAATCATCTGCAGATTGGGAGGAGGTTCTGCCACGCTGGAGCTTTGACCACACACCCACTTGCATGACAATAGTTACTTCTGCCCCAGGAATGTGCCCTGAGACAGCCCTGCTTGACACAGAGTTCTTCCTGGTCCTCTGAGGGGTGTCCCCAAGGAGCACGGAAATGCTCTCCTGACACCTCTTCAGTTTCTTGGCCTCCACAACTCAATTCAGAGAGGATGGTACAAGCGAGGTCTAGCCTCCCTACAAGTCATCACATACAAAAGCCCTAATCATCAAGTGAGAGCAAGGATTCTGCTCAAGGAGAGACCATCTGTGTAAATTTAGGGGCATAGGGGCTCCTCCCAGCAATGCGAGCTGAATACTGCAGCCACCGTCGCAAAGCTACAAGCACCCACAGGCACCAGAGAGCACTTTGAACAGAAGGAGCTGCCACTCACAGCAGTGTGGCTTTGGTTTTCCTTCACAAGGGTCACCGTCTGAGCAGCCCTTCTGCTCTGGTTCTGGGTCTGCGTCAGCTTCTTCTTCAGCTCTGCCTGCGGTAGGAGAGATGAGAGAACACTTCAGTGATGGATCTGCTATGGACGTTCGTGGTCAGGTCCTGGTTTTGGGAGTGAAAGTCAGATTTATAGAAGGTTTTAAGTAACTGCTGTAAGCATTAAGTCCTACAGATTCGAAGCAGGCCGTTCCTTCAACCTCCCAGGACACACAAACATTCCCGTTTGCGTGCAGCTGGTGGAGCAAGCGCTTCCCCCGGCTCTGCACCCGCACATACCAAGGCCTGTGGCTGTTGACTCACTCTCTTGATAGAGACTAAACACTTTTATCAGCACAGCCGTTGTCAGTGCTGAGAGTCAACTTTATCGTAGACTGGACTTTGGGCTACCTCTTACCCCTCTCATTTGTAGAATTTTATTGCTCACAAATGTACCTATTCCTTTACTTTAGAATGCTGCTGAGCAAAACCAGGTCGGACCCCAAAGGTTACACACTTCAGTCATACCCATCGCCTGAAGGGATGGGCAGACCTGAACTTGGTGCCTCCGGTTTAGATTTTTCAAGTGTGCTTTTCCCGCCTATCCCCCGCTCTTGAGCAGTGCTGGAAACCCCCTCCCCGCTGGCTCACCTCGGCCTCCTCCCTGGCCTGCTGCAGCGGGGTGGTGTGGCACAGCCGGTGGCTCAGGATGCAGGTGGAGCAGATGCAGGTCGCGTGCTCCCTGCAGAAGAGCTCCAGCAGCTTGTTGTGGCTCGCGCACTTGCGCTGCTGCAGGTCGGGCAGCGGCGGGCACAGCTGGTGGTCGCGGAAGGCCGGGCTCTCCTTGTGCGGCCGCAGGTGCTCGGCGCAGAAGGAGGCCATGCAGGTGAGGCAGG